GTGGTGAGACCAGCCATGATGTATGGTTTAGAGACAGTAGCAATAGGCAGAAGACAGGAGGCGGAGCTGGAGGTGGCAGAGTTAAAGATGCTAAGATTCTCTTTAGGAGTGACAAGAATGGACAGGGTCAGGAATGAGGTCATTAGAGGGACAACACAGACAGGAAGGTTTGGAGAAAAAGCTAGAGAAGCCAGATTGAGATGGTTTGGACATGTGCAGAGGAGGGACAGTGGATACATTGGTAGAAGAATGTTAGAGATGGAGCTACCAGGTAGGAGACAAAGAGGAAGACCAAAGAGGAGATATATGGATGTAGTGAGGGAGGACATGCAGATAGTTGGAGTCAGAGTAGAAGATGCAGAGAACAGGGAGAGATTTTTCTGCCTCTCTTTGTACGTTAACAATCATGTTCCACTTTCTGTCGTCATGCCTTAAGAATGAAAAAAATACATGATATAAAATTAAATAAAGATCTATGAACATTAACGTGGTCTGGTTAGTTAACAGTTTGTTTTAAAAATTCAAAAGACTCTTATTATCGTTCGGTTTGCTCCATTTTGTTACATTTTATGAGGGCAATAAAAAAAACATCAAATAAAACATGACACAGCTCAACGGTTGACAAATATATAAAACATTAAAAACCCGTCAAAACACCTGAGATTCGGGTCTTAACGCTCCCTGCTATTTGCTGTATTGTGCACTTTGTCCACCAGGTGGCAGCATTTAACGCTTTAATGTTTGCGTTGGAGACTGCTGTTGTTAACCTCATGTTTTGGAGAACACTGAAGTAGCCACAGTAATGGGAGAAAACATCAGAAAATAACAACTTAATAACTTGTCATAAGGTCAGGCTTTATTATTTTTCCGTTGGTAACATGTTGAGCTCTTTGACTTCTTTCTACTTTTTACAATATGTCAGGCTACAACAATGATATTAAAATCTCAATCAATGTTAAACCGTGACAGTACATGGACAGACTTGCTGCCTTGCTCTGACCACACCATCTCCAAAAATACTGTAGCCTCAGGGGACATTTGTCTCAGTGTCATGGTCTACAATGACGACCGATTTCTTGCAATTTCCCTCCTTTGTTATGAAGACAGTAAGTAAATCTTCTTTGTAATATTTATAAATGAAGAATCAATTATAGAATGTCAAAAAGCTGTTTAAAAAAACATACAGCAGAAAGATGGTTTATTACACTGCTGTGAAAAGCAAACCAACGCATGTGACTGAATGAAAAAGTGCTGATGCTTATGAATGAATCTCAGGACCAGATTTTGTTAATATTCGATCTCAGGTGACTGGAGGGGGAAACATTTGATGTATTTTTGATGAGCTCAGATCAATGACGGTCATTGCTTCTCCCTGTGGTCCTGCGGGTGTACGGATCTAATCCCTGCAGCTTCACACAAACCCGTGTGTCAGGTTAGGGTTCCATGTGCAAATTAGTGAACGTATAGTTGGATAAATGTAATAAATTGATGAAGGTCTGACTGAAGCCGATGTCCAGATTATCACCTGATGTTTAGGTATATAGTTTTCTCGAACATCCATCTGTTCTTGATTCTTCTCAGTGTTGGTGAGTGGGGCTGGAGCCAATCCCGTCATTCATCATCTGAAGGCAGGCTTTACCTGAGCTGTTAA